TTTCCAGCTTCAGGAAATTGGGCATATTTAGATCTAACATTTGAGTTGGATCAATCTGGCTCGGGCGTAGTGGGCACTATTTGAAAAAAGGCCTCAAGGACTAAGCCAAGGCAGCACGGACGAACTCCGGAGAATACGAACACTTCACTAGAATCCCTCCCCTCTTCAGAGGCCTAGTTCTGAAGTTTCCGTGATCTTGACGCGATTTTGTGTGGTGCCCCCCTGAGCCACATTGCGCCTTTGAGTTTTCCGTTGAGTAATTTTAGAGCGGGCAGGATTTTTTACTCGTTTTTCTTTCTTCACACTCCAAAGCGAAAATTTATTTCGAAAAGCATAGCAGTTTGAGGAGCAGAGGGACTCCTCTCACCTATGGTTCGTAGGCCGAAGACAGTGTTTATGCATTAACATACTTGCACGGTTCATGGGGTGTGGTTCACTAGGACAGAAAGCGACTTTTTCGCGTTTCGCAGCGCGAAACATTTTTCGCTGCGGGAACCTCAGGTCCACCGCTGATCATCAGTGGACCCGAGGTTCCCGCAGCGAATCATCAGTGGACCCGAGGTTCCCGCAACGAAAAATGTTTCGCGCTGCGAAACGCGAAAAAGTCGCTTTCTGTCCTAGTGAACCACACCCCGGTTCATGCAGGAAAGTAGTGGCAGGGGTTATGCGCGCAAAATCAGTATTCATTTAAAAAACGGTTTCGAGAGGTATTTGTAGTATGGAAGCCCGAGGGTTGTTTTCCGTAACGGCATTTGTTAGGCCATCGCTTTAATCTGAACAGGTGGTAAGCGAAGAAGATCGACCACTTATGAGCAAATGGAATATTCTTAGTCAGCATAGTCCGGGAGTATTTTTACTACTGCGGTGAAGAAGGTCTCTTCGAATCAGTTTTTTTAGTGAAGATTTTTTACTTTCAGCACTTTTTTCTACACACTTACCTTTAAAATACGCCGTTTTATAGAAAAGACATCTTTGAAAGAAAATTTTGAGGAAATATTCTCTCTATCCTTGGAGTCTAGCATACGAGCGCAGAAAAGTCGGACGATTTTTCCAGCAAGATCTGTGGGCACCTTCACGCTCCCAAGTTCCATGTTTTCGTTACTATCTCTATTAAGTGGCTTTCCTTTTGATTTGTGTTGCTCTAATGCGTGGATGATGCAGTAGTAAAGTTCCGTTTCCGTTAATAGGTTTGAATATTAGAATATGCATTGAAACTCGAGCCTGAAGGCTAGGTTATCGTTTTCGGGGTTCATGCGGCAAACAGCTAGTCAATACATTAGTCGCTTTATTTTATTGATTTATTTTCTCAGCATCCTAATATCCATTCGAAATGCTCGTTAGACGTAGTCGTGCTCTTGTTAAGCCTAATATCGCAAAGGCATCGAACTCGGAGAACATCAGCCGAGAAGTATGCTAGTGATCTTGTTTCTATGTCTATGACTCATTCGCGTAGATTGTTTAGAGTTACTTCCTGCCTCTAAAAGTGACACTGAATCTGCCGATGCTGTTCCTGCCGTTGAGCCTGCTGAGTGTTCAGATAATTCACATGCGATCGAAGAAACCTCAGAAATTTTTAATGACACTGGTGAGTGTCTCATCCATCAGAGTTTCCCGTTCAGCACTTTGGCGGATTTTTTTTGTTGTATGTCAGCTGCTGAACGCTTATTTTCATTTTAGTGATGAGTACCTCTACGGTGTCATCACTTCGTGAAAAGGGCGTAAATGCAGGGGTCGCGCACAGCACCTACAACAATGGGAATTCCGCATACCTAATATAGGACTTAACCCTCCCTCCCCTACCTCCCACATGAGAGCCATTTTTCGGAAGTTCACGTATGACAAAGTTTTAAGTTTTTTCAAGTTTGTGACTTACTGCGCCCCAATCAACGTTGGTTTCATTACATAGATACTACGACTCCTTAGCTGTTTATGGTGCTGTTACTCGTCACTGGACTATGCCTTCAACTATACAAAGACCCGTAGCGATCGGTGCAACGAGCGTCCCTATGTTTTTGAAAACCGTTATTTTTTTCGTTTTGGCGCTAATTTTATGGGGACCGGAACACATAAGGAACTGATTGTGGTGGGCTGGTAGTGTCTCAATACAGCGAATTTATAGTACAAGCCCTTTTTTGGTGGTGTTTTTATCCTTGCTGCACTTGGTAATCTCGGTAGGCTCAGCGTGAACGTAGTGCGTTGCTGTGACTCGGCGTTAGGAGTCACCGTTGCTAGGGATAAGAAAGGAACTAAAAGAACACGCAGCTGCCCGAGAAAGTTGACTCCTTCCTCTGCGCACTGATTTCCGCATTGATGCGATGGCTCATCGATGACTCCCCCTTCGGTTCAAAACGTACGCTGTGTTCGTAATCGGTATGTTAGAGCAGATGCGAAGAGGGGCCTTGTGCGCGACACGAGTATTTGTCCCACGCTAGGTCACGGTGGTAGTGCTCTCTGCAGCGAATGCTACATCATCCCGCCTTTTTGGGGCGCGCTGGGCAATACCATGAGGGTATTCCCTTGTCCGACCTCTCGTGTAATCCTCTTTAAGGCCGTCAGTTTACCATTTTTCGAAACTGTTCGCATCGCAGAGAAGGTATACAATTCTGTCAAAGGGATGTACCGCGATGAAGGATCTGACACCGTCACACCCTAGCGAGTCGGATAGTCGTCGTTGAAGCCTAGGAACATTTGCGTAATTGGTTGGTGGAGCCGTGCAGCGATTAAACTACCTAGTTTTGAGCTGTCGTTTTTGAGAATTACTCAATAACCTTCATTGGCAAAAATTGCAGAATCCTACGCGGGCATCTTAATGTAAGGAACACATTCATTAAGGGTTAAATCTATTGATTGTGAAAAAAGCAGCCCTTATTTTGCGTCACAAATCACATCGCCGGAAAATTTTCGATATGCCACATGAATAACATCAATCACGTATACATTCTCAGAAGTTGATCCCGAGCATCAAAGGTAACGACATGATATTTCCAAGAAGAAGAGTTCTTACCATTGTGACGAAGTGTACAGAACCGAATACCTCAGAGAGTGATCCATTATGAAGAGAAAATTCGATCACTCGCTCGGAAGGGGATTGACCTCACGTAGTGTTTCAATTTTTTCATGTGCGATTTGTAGCCGCAGCCACGAGGATTTGATATTGCTGAATTACGGGTAAATCACTGCAGCTCAGCCGGGAAGTGAATCCCCGCTCAAACTTGAGCGTTTTGATACATAACACGGCATCCTTGTGTGTGAAGTGTGCTCTTGTATGTAATCCATCGGGTGAGAATTCATCTTTTCGGTCATGTGCAGTTTCTAGCCGCAGACCACGAATATTTGTATGTGCTGCGGCTTGGCCAGGACGTGAACTCCCGCTCGAACTAAAGCGTTTCAGTACATAACTCAGCATCCATGTGAAAACTGTGCTCTTGGTTTCTTGTCTTTTCAACTCCTGTTCTTCACCTACTTATCTTTTTCACTTGTCATATTTGCTGAGAGTTTAACAGCATGCTTTCAGCGCTCCTGTGGATCATTCGAGGCTATTATCTCCAAAAAGTAACGACAGATACTATTCCACGGATTATTATGAGCCAGTTCTTCCAAGGTATTTCTTGACGTTTATGCACCATTATGCACACTCACAGACATAAGTTAGAACAAAAACGTCAGACCTAGAAAAAAGTTCTCTGGTGATGAGCAGTTAGACCCGAAGAAAATGCGCATGATGGATATGATATACTGGAATCCCAAAAAGGAGAAAGCCATGACCCGACGCCACGTGGAGACAGAGTCCGTGAGGTCTGCAGTCTGTGAGGAAAAACAGTCTTCCATTGAAAAACTCAACAACAGCGGCAGTAAATCGGCAGCCACAGGTAATTAAAATTTTATTAGCTACCGTTTTAGGCTTTTTTGCTCTTTTTCAAGCAATAATAATAGTTATTCAAGGTAATAATTGGACCAGACGGCCGACTTGTGATCGACGAGAAAAGTTTAGTTATTGCTGAAACCGTTACCGATGATTCCGTTTGGGAAACCATAGACGAGGTTTCGCTGATTCAAATGTTCTTTATTAAAAATTTGAATGTGTAAGCCGAAAAAGCATGACAACGCTCTCCTCGGAATTCTCAAGAGGAAGGAACAAAAGTCAGTGCTCGCTCACTTTTCGTAAGCACTCTTAGTTAAGGACCGAGTATCTCGAAAAGTTACTTCACTCTCGTTCCGGAATCGCCTATGGCGCAAAGGTACAACCTGGACGGAAAAGGAAAAAACTGGTTATGTTACTGCGTATCTTTCTACTGTGTTGTAAATTTGCTTTATATCAATAATTGGTGTAGGGGGCTACTTATGGAACGATATTCAGAAATTCTTCGGTGTACGGGCCCGGACTTTGGATTGATGCACGAATTTTTTCCAACGCGAGCTCGCAATGAGCTCAAGACCAAGTTCAATCGAGAAGAGAGGAATAATTGGGAAAAACTGAAAGAGGTAGGTTTATTGCGCTTCTCGAGCATTTCTTCTTTAGGTGGACAACGCGTAACCGCAGAGCAAGTTTTTTTGTGAGATTTCACCACCCTTTTTTTTAACTCTCTAAGGTTTCGCGAAATGCTGCAAATTAAAAGGCAAACCGGGATCAGTCCAAGTAGTAGGAGCTACGCTGCGAGTGAACTTGTTCGTTCCCTATCTACAGAACTCGTGCCAGCTTCGTTGCACAAGATGCGAGGTTAGGGCGCTAATCGTTAAGGACCTGCAGCCTCGTAACGCTTCCCATGCACCGCGATTAATGTGGAGATCACCGCTCTCTGGTTAGGCCTGCTCTATTCGCGAGTTTGCCTTTCTGGTCAATCTTTCTCCCCGTCATACCCATCCGATCCTACTTAGTTTTTGTACTTTAGGCCTTAGTTTCAGTGTTTCGATGGTTTTCCTTGTTTTCTTTTTCACTTAGTCCTTTTCGCAGTTCATCTTCCACCATAAACCGCTCCTATACACTAGGTTTAGCCAGGAGCTTGCCTTTAAGACAGTTGATATATTGAGGGAGAAGGCGAGGTGATGGATGCTCAGTCGAACGGTCGCAGGGCTACACCTCTCAGACTCAGCATTCTAACCGGTCCCACCTAGGGCAGAGCTACGCGCTGCTTTCATGTCTTTTTTCCGCAGATAATAATAGTGAAGACGTTAAAGCACAGATTTGAAGAATTATCTCGACCACCCTCATCGACACTCATGCAAAATGCGGTTTTTTTATGAAAGTGGATTTTCCTATGCGATTTCCATAACGAAATCATGTTTTTTCTCAGTTTTTTTCCTATAGTCAAAGACGCTGCGCTATGGTTGTTGCATTGGTTTCCCTCTGAGACTTTGCCAGTTAAAACGCTGTTCGCTCTTGTTTATCTTGGCAGTATTCAAAACGATGTTGTGTGATGGACAAAGTACTTTGCATATACAAGGATTTCGATCAGATCTTTGTGTTTTCTATAAAAATGCTAGACACGATTCATAGCGGCTATTTTGTCGAACTCAGTTTTCAAGGCATATTACCGTGCGGATGTTCCAACATTCACGAAATGAGAATGGTGTCGGTTAGCCAACATGGGCCCAACAGTGGCAAAACACGAGCTTAACAAAAGCCACAGTTTTTGAATTCCTTGGATGTTCAGCTTTTGAGTTGTTTCGTTTTGGCATCTGCTTGTTTTTGCCGCACCTCCTTCGAAGGTGGTCACAATGAAGTTGAGTTTAAAGACAATGAAAGCTTTGCAAGCCACTGCTGTCAGTTCTGCTCCAGATCAACGAACCGCTCATTAAGCTATATGTTGTGAGTACTGGCAAGCTGTGCTAAATGTACCATTTAAAGTTGAGGGGAAACATGGTCTCCTTTTTTGCTACAACGCATTAGCCGAAGCGCAAGGTAAAGGTTTGAATCCGGGCTGCAAAAAAAGGGTTCCGTCCTAACTTGTCATTGTGGTGGTGAGACTCTCATGAGCGAATTGCTTCGAAAAACAGCAGTCATCTAAACATATCCGGGAAAGGATGACGAGTAATTGCATCCCAAGTAACAGTTTTTCCTTTTAGGTTATGGGTAAACCAGCTTTACTAGACGACGATCTTTACGAGAGGGCTGCCACCCTGCAGAAGGAAATAGAAGAAGAAGCACTCAATAAGAAATTCAAGAAAGTCAAGGATGTAGATGCTGCGCTGAAGAAGAAGGAGGAGAAAGAAAAGGAGAGGAAAGAAAGGGAGAGAATGCGAAAGGAGAAGAGAGAGCAAGCGAAGTTAGAAAGGAAAGAAAAGGCGAAGTTAGAAAGGGAGAAGACGAAGTTAGAAAGGGAGAAGGCGAAGTTAGAAAAGGCGATGAAGGAAACGCCGTTTATGGAAGAGCCTTTTATGGAAGATCTTATGGAAAAGCCAATCAAGGAAAAGAAGAAGAGAAAGAAGGTTTGCCCGATACGGTTTCTTCCGGCACTATTTGCCCTTTACTTTTTGATACTAAAAACCCCACTGTCCTTCGCAGAATTATGCGGGTTTATTCAAAAATTTTCCAATGACTGTGACTTTCGGCTAGAAACTTGCTTCAGGCGGTAATTCGACGTAGTTCACGCATTCACATGGTTACTGCTAAAACGCGCACCTCTGGCGCTTGCCGCCATGCGAGAACCGGATCGCCAAATCGTGGAAACTTGTCTCCAGAGGTTTTTTGGCCCATAGGATATGAAACATGAATATCACATTAGTTCGTTGCGAGTGAGCCTGTAGCCTGCGCTACGGGCGCCCGCGCAAAACTGTTGTGATAGCGCCGGCGCCTGTGGCGCGGGCGCCAAGCATTGTCGCGCTAAACCGGTGTGATATTCGTGTTCTACGGGTCGAAATATCCCGAAACAATTTGTAGCCAAATCCTTAATATGCGACGAATCCCAATCAAAATCCGGCTCAGTTCTTGGGGAGTGGGGCAGTAAAGGGTAAATAGTGCCCTCATTCCTAGTTCAATTTTTGCCGATTACAGCCTGAGGAACGAGAGTGGGATGAAAACACAGCGGATTTAGTTGAAGAGGCTGCTACACTCATTCGTGAACTAGAAAGAGAGTCCGCTGAACGGTTAGTGTTCTTTTAAACGTGATCGAAAAAAATGACTGGTTCAATTGCTGTTCTTGTGCCATAAATCCATAACAGTAATTTTGGTTCAGCGATGATGATGAGGAGGACGATGCTGAACCAGGTTGCTCAGAAGAACCAGTCGTGGAAGTTAGACGGTCAGGAAAGGACTAAAAAGGTAGGTGTTCTGATTTCGTTTTCTCGTAGCGTTTTCCTCCAGCTGTTGCCCAAAGAAGCAGAAGTGATCTGCATAGGCCTACTCATTGAAATTCGACAACTCGATTGTACCATTTTCTGGTCTTTGTTGTATTTGTTACATTTATTTTGAACTGGTATGTAATGGTTTTTTAAACTTCATTTCACACTTACGTTCCTTCAATCTTTTTGCTAGCTCACTTGGTTTGCTCCCCTTTTTCAGTCTTATGCACACTTTTCCCTTTTTTGTCCTTTTTCTTACCTACCAAATCATAACCACCTCAGGGGGCGTAATTGTTACGGTTTAGCTAAAAATCCGAAATGAAAGATGCGAAGGTATCAAGCAGGTGTAGTTTTTATGCGCAGAGGAGGGCGCGCGGTGAGTGAGCGTAAGACAAGGTGCTGCGGACGGCGAGCATTGCATTTTACTTTGCGAGGCCCTAGCGCCGCTGTTGGGTGATTCGTATTCACGGCAGCGCCACATCTATGATTGCCTTCTAGGGGTCCTTTAGACAGAAGGGAACCTTTCACACAACAACCCTGCCTGGGTAGTGCCTTTGAACATATTTCATCAGCATTAGCATACGGTCCTCAAAAATGAAGTAAGAGAGAAACTTGTTAGAAGACAGTGGAGAGGAGAGAGAAAGGCAGCAAGGTTGAGCCCGTTCCATGAGCTGCACGTGGCTTGTTCCTGTCATACGTCCCACGAATTTAGCAGAAAAGTACATAGTCCAGCTCCATGCCAATGTAGTGAACAT